AGTTGGAGTCTGCACATTATAAAGGACAGATTCATGGATTAGATGTCAGAATCCTAGGCTGGGATTACAGCCCAGTCCCCACCTTGCCATGTGATCTCGGCAGTGTGCATGACCCAAAAAGCAGAGATTTGGTGTTACGGTCTCCAGTTCAAAACCTGGCTCTGCCATATACTAGCTGTCTCCTCCACTGTGTAACCCAGTGTGTCATTTAACCCGCCTGGACCTATTTCTTTTTCTGTTACATAGAGATCATGACTACCTTGATATGTTTTAAGCATTAGTGATATTTTTAGAGTGTATGGCAGATGTTTTAGTAGTTCTCAAAAATGATAACTCTTGAAGATGGCTCTCTCAGAGCCTAACTTTCTTAAAAGTGAGGTGAGGACAGGAGCCTGCAGTGCTTTGAACCCAGCAATGGTGAGTGCACAGGTAGGAGTTATTATCAGGAACACAGTGGGTAAGAGAGGGCACAGGTCCCGGAGGCGGGGAGGGGTCCTGGCTCTTCTACCAGCCTGGGTTACAGGCAGAGGAGCTGTGCTCTGAGAGCCGGCTCAGATGGCGAAAGGAGCCCTCCACAGGGGGGTGTGCAGACTTGGGTGCCATCTCTCTCCCATGTGGGTTTGCCATCATGAACAAACTACTTAAGCTTCCCCCTTCCAAAAAGTCCATGCTTCCTTCTGATTGGAACGTTCTGCAGTTCTAGAATGACATTAGAGGGTGAGGGAGGAACGGAAAAGGATAGGGAGTGGCCCACTGTCTGCAGAGAAGACAGACAAGGATAGCTGCAGATCAGGAGGGAGCCCGGGCTTAAAGCGGACGGGAAGAGACCAGTGAGCTGAGGACGAGGTGCTGATGTGTTGTTCCCCTGGCCCTCTGCAGACATGAACTCTGCAGACCTGTGGGCTGAATACAGTTCCTCTTCTGAACAGTCATGAGGCCTTGGGAAAGTTAAAAACTTTTAAATTTCTGTAAAATGAGAATGGGAAACCAAATGAAGTTGTTGGGTGGGCTGCAATAGCACCCGTGAAGAACCTGGTGGAGCACCTGGCATCCCGTAGCAGGCGCTAAATCGCATTACTGTGGTATTCCACCACGTTATTTTCCCTGGGGCAGGGGCGTCAAACTCATTTTCATGGGGGGCCGCATCATCCTCGAGGTTGCCTTCAAAGGGCCGAATGTAATTTTAGGATTTTAGGACTGTGTAAATGTAACTGCTCCTTAACTGTTAAGTGAGAGCTCAGCACTGCCGCCAGGTAGACAACAAGGTGTCGGGCCAGACAAAATGAGGTTGGGGGGGGATTCAGACCATGGGCCTTGTGTTTGCCACCTGTGCCCTAGGGTGACAGACGCCCGCTGAAGGAGCAGCAATCAGGAGTGGTTAGATTTTTCATCTCTTCTCAGTTTGAAGCTGATAACGAGGTTCTTTCTGCCTGGGTAACGCAAGTCCAGAAAACTTTCCTCAGGCCTCTTAATGGAGACAATTAATTCTTTTTCCCTTGGTTAGTTCTTCAGCCTTTCCCTTCCCACAGAGCAACTGCCTGAGACTGGCTCGGTCTTATGAAAATGATGACAGAACTGCTCTTCCCCCCCCACAATGATCTGAGAAGCTTCTTTATGAAGTGACCATAGGCACAATACACAAGGATGCAAATCCAAACCCAGTTCAGGGGAAGCCTAGACAGGAACTCCCTTCACACAGGTGGCATCCAGGACCCCGTGTTTAAACATTTGCCAGGGTACTGATTTACAAGCAACACCAAACGTCATTGGAATAATTGAAAAAAAAAAAAGGGACCTGTTAACTCAGGTTTCCATATGCAATTTCTTAGGTTGCCAGCCCAAGGAATGCAAATTGGTCCTCCTCCCAGTCAGCACATTGAGTAAGTCTTTTATTTGAAACCGTGACAAGAAACCACCTTGTAGGAAGGAAGAATCTTGGTAACTGAAAGCCATTTATTTTGGTGAAGAAAACTAAAATATTACCCTTGGTATGATGGGTATTTAATACTCTCAAAGATGAGATTTAGTAATGGGAGAGGATATGTGAGCTTGGAGTATGTGGTTAAGGCAGCAATAAACAGCTGAGAGAGAGGGAGAGGGAGAGGGAGAGAGGTTGGAGTGAGCAGGGAGTGAGATCTGGGAAGGCAAAGGGTGGGGGCCAGAGAGTGGGTGCTCTGAGGGGGAAAGGAGGGGACTCCCAGTAGCTGACAGGCCTGCTCACAATACCTGGGAGAAGACTTGCCTGTCGCGTGTTTGACAGGAGTGCTATGGGCCGCGAGAACCCTGTTCGCCCTCCGGCCCCCATTCGTCTCTCTGCTCAATCATATCTAAGCCCTATTTCACTCTTGTGACTGTTGTTTTTGGAGAAGTGGATAATCAGACAGCTGATAGAAAATTCATTATTTTCAGTAACAGAAAACCGGTTCCCCAGTCTCTACCAAATGCATATTAAATAAATATTCAAAGAGTGGTTTTCAAGGGTGCTAAATACTTCCTTCCCCCTTCTGGTCCGGCCCAATGCCAGGCTCTGCAGGGGGCTTTCTAAGTGCATCTCATTTGAGATCGAGTCACTGGGATTACGTGAGGGCCATGGAACTCTCAAAATCTTCCCTAAGGGGCAACATTTGATAAAGGCAAGGCCAGGCAAAACTGAACGAAAGGGGAAGGAACCGAAGCTGGCAAGCTTCTATGTGGTTTGTTCTCTCTCAGCGGCAGAGGGAGGTAGAGAGTAAAAAATAACGTGTTGAGATCTACGCCAACAAATAGGCCTGTGTAAAAAGTCAAACAAACTTCAGGTGTTGATTGTAAGAAATCATTTGCAATGCTTCTTGGTGACACAGGTGGTTCTACAGAATTGTTGGTATTTAGGAGGCAGGACTTCTATCTGTAGTCTAGAGGAGGATGAGATAATACGAGGTGAAGAGAGATTTGTATTTTGAAAGAAGACTATGCATGATGAAAATGACATCTTTTTTGATCCCTTTTTGGCATACACATATATACTCTTCTGTAAACAAGGGGCTTGAATTCAAGGTCTAACTTTGCACCTTTGGATGAACTGCTTCGCTCCAGACTGAGAGAAAAGAGGGACAGAGTCCACGAGCTGGGATTTCAGAGAATCCAGGGAAGAAGTGGGCAGAAACTGAGCAACAGCTGGTGCCCCAGAGAACCAAACTGTGCCCACCACAAAGCCACCGTCTCCCACTGGCAGCCCTTTCACCGCGTTTGCGATGAGCCATTACTGCTGTGCTCATGGGAGTGTCACTGCCCTGTCTACTATTAGCACAGGGTCCTGGTGTCCCCAAACACGTAGCGGTCCCAGAATGGCTGCTAATGTCTTGAGTTTGGCACAGGCTCTATTTCCTCAATGTATTTCCCATTCCAAGGCACTAAGAGGTGGAGGATACATTCTCGATGTACTGCATGTCCAGGGAAAAATATGACCATCTGGTTTCAGCAGTTAACTTCCTTCATTGTCTGGCTCAGTATATATAAAGCTCTGTCCTCTAGCAGAGAAAAGATCTGAGTATTAGCTTTCTAATGTGTTCCTGAAACTGTGTGTGTATGTGCGTGCATGAGATGAGATGGATCTATGCAAAACATCAAATTGTAATGGGGTGTAGGCTGGGAGGCCCCAGGTTCCCCCAAAGGAGGGATTTGTAATGGGGTCCAGAATTTAGGGTGTCTGGGATTATAGGGTATCCGCCCCACAAGTCTGTCTGGGGGATGGGATGCAGGGCCACTGAGAGTTATTTCGTATATTAATAATAGCAGCCTAGTTTCATAGCCAGATGAAAAATGGTTATTTTGCATATCAACAGCAGGCTACCTAGGGAGATGGGAATGACTTTGACGCACACTGCAGCTGGGAGGCAGCCCCCTGGTTACAGCACCTGCATGTGAGCTTGGAGATGGTTCCCTCCAAGCCACGGGGCCACGCCTGCCCGGACTAACTATGGCATCCAAGAAACGCTGCAACTGGGGAGTGCTGGCAGGTGTAGTCGATTGTGGGAGGAGTCAGAAATGGGGTTACAGAGGTTATAGGCTGGGATTTAAACTAAAGGCGGGTGCCACTACGAAGGGGAGACAATGCAAGACTAGATGGGAAGGACAATGCGAGACCCTGTGGGAAGGAAAGGAGTGAAAGGACTCTTGCTGGTGGGCCATAAGGAGGTGCCACGTGATGTTGGACTAAGAACTGGAGATCGCTGGGTTGACACAGCTGATGGTGCTGGGGATCTCGGGAGACCTGCCCAGCTGAGCACAGATTACTGGGAGGATCCTGGAGTCTAGCGGAGCTACGGACTCTTCTTTCTTTTCCTGAGATACGGTACCCCTGACCAGCCTAGTTTAGCAAGGGAAGGCAGGACAGTTTGTGTTTGTGAGTGTTTTAAAGGGACTTTGAGATTTCACGGTGACATTCTGCCATTACTCTAAACCTGTATAACTTTTGAATAAATAGTTCCTTTCCTTTTTACCAACCTCTGGCATTGAGAGCCACAGTTCCTACCTGGCAGTGGGCTGGATGAACCTAGTACAGAAAGACCCCGGGGGGAGGGGGCTTGTTTTGGTAACAGTGTCATGGCTCTCCCCCCACAGGTTCCATTTGGTAACAAATTATTTTACCCAGTAAGTCAACTTTTTATCTTGCAGTACAGTACTTTCTATTTACCTGGAGGTGAGAAGAGAGGCAGAGAGAGGAGTTGGTTTGTGATCATCAGACTCCAAAGATGAACTGATTAGGAGAGTTATAGCTTTTACCTGTCCTTGCCCCTCAGCATATGCTAGGATCAGTGCAGCTCCTTTTAGGGGCTTTCTACTTTGTGACTATTGTAGCTTATTTTGAAAACTCCTGTTACTGTTATATGAGATTCACGTGTAAACCCGAAATCTATCATTTGGTGAACAAGGTAACTAGCTAGTCACACAGGCAAGTGTGGGAGGAGGGGCATCACTCCTGGTGCACACAGGTAAAAAACAGTACAGTCAACTTCTTCCAACATTTAATGTTTTTTATTTGCCATTTATTATAAAAATTGAATTTTTATTTTACACAAAACATACTTTAAAAACAGTAAAGTTTACCAAAACTAATGAATCTCAGGCAAAGGGATTTACCACCAAAATGCAGATTTACATGGTAAACCTGAGGGCCAAAAACATTCAACTCATCACAAAATAATACATTTTCTAATAATTTGTTACCAAAAGCAAAAGCTGATTATGTAGATTTCAAAATATGTGACATAGATAAAATAAGCTAACAAGAAAGTCTTTCTACTTAAGATTGGCCCATTATTTCACTGAGAGTGAAACATCTGAAGATTAAAAAATATTTAAACATAAATATTTAGTATTATACACAACACATATATGCACAGACACATCCATTCTAATTCTATGCCCCTTTGTATTTTTTAAATTGCACCATCTCTGTTAGAGATAATATATAACATGCAGGAGGCATTCATAATTGTTTTTTTCAGCAGTACTGTATTATTATACAAGTCAAATGCAAAACTTAAATATGAATTAAATTCAACTGGAAGCCATTTCAACTCAGTACTTCGGCTTATATTTTCCATGTTAATGCTTTAGTGTTGATGAAATTGTGTAAAAATATGTTTGAGAGAATGTAGTCCATTACCTAAAGTACTTAGTAGGTAGCTCCCAGAGGATATGGAAGCGATGGACCAGAAACAGAAAGCAGTTAAATAGGACTACAGTTTTTCCATTGCTTCAGCTTTCACATCCGGCTGAAATGGGAAATAATTATATTCAGGGTATTTTGCAACAGTTTCATGTATACAATGTTTTCATAATTCAAACCAGGATACAAAATAACTCCTGCCCTCTCCCACCAGCCTTCTTCTTGTTTCCAGGAAAAAAAAAACACAACAAAAAACCCCAACCAGATTCTTATGCAATATGCAGTTCCTGAAAATGGACTTAAAGTTATATTCTCATGCTTCTGGGGGATGTTGGATCAGCTCTAAATACTCAGGGATGGGTAAAGTAGAACTACTCAATTAGGCATAATTATAGGCTCTGGCTTTCCCCCAAGTAAACACATGCTCAAGTATCACTGCAAGTTCTCTAGCACAAGTATATTCTGTTACTGCACAAGCACTGATCAAATTTAAGGAGGTGGGTGAGTGGAGAGAGATAACAAAATGCCCTGTGTGGATAGGACAATGGTAAGAAAACAAAGACGGAAAGAGTATTTTATTAAAAATACAAGGAAATAAGCTATAAATCCACAGAATTGTTTATTTTAATAGTTTCTGAACCCATGGATATTATGCAGTGTTTTAATTAAACATACAAAATTTGAATCATGAAACACTTGAAAAACAAATACAAATATTTTCACTGTCTAACAATGTTGTGCAGGTAACTTGCTGCAGCTCCACGCAGCACACGCCTGAACCATGTATGCCACGGAGCTGAGATTCTGAGGGTCTCTGTTCACCCTGTTTCACACAAAGGTTTGTTATGTGACTGTGAAATATGCTGAAGTCTGAAGGGAAAAAAACAAGACAGGATGAAGAATGAAAACACAGTGTCTACGTACCACAGAGAATGTACTCTGATGTAGGTTAGGGAAAGAACACTACCTTACCAGAAATGCTCCAAACTGCTTAGGTTCTCAGACTAAGGCTGGGCGTTCAGTTTTCTTTTAAATATAACCAAGGGAATAGAACATTACATAATTACAAGTAATGAATAAAAAGGAATATCTTATCATTAACCTCTCGCAACCTTGGGGAAAACACTAAACCCATCCAAAACTAATAAGCTACATTTTGCATACATAGGGGTGTGTGTGTGTGGTGTGCATTCACAGTCGTCTGTGTGTGCATCTACGTGTGCATGTAAACGAACCAATCCCACTGCTAGCGTAAGCCATCGACTTTGTTCTGAATAACATCCACATCTATCTAGTTTTGGAAAATGCACTGACATTGTTGGAAATCAAATACCAGCTAAATTTCACAAGTGAACAAACTTCATTTTTCTTCATTTAAAATCTTCTTAAAAGAACATGAACTTTTATAATATGTTATCTGCTCCTGCTCCAACAATGCAGTAAAGGTGGCATCAAACTCATACTCAGTGTCAAGTGGTGGTCTCAGAGTTCATTGCATCAGTGCCCTGTCATTTCAAAAGCTACCTAAAGACTGGTGTGTTAGACTGATATAAAAAATAAATCTAAAAACTATGGCATCAAGAACAGAACTTGCACTAGTTACTATATATACCCTTGTGTTTGGAGTGACACTTATAATACTCATTATTGATCCTGATAGTAACCTGTGTCCAGAAATTCAGAGAGGTGATAAGGGAGATTTTGCCAATGACTTTTGCACATGAACAAAACCAGTGACTAGCCATGGTGAAGTTCTAGTTTGTCAGGGAAATGGCAACAATCTAAAATTTGTTTTGAAAACTCATTCAGAAAAAATGAGGTGAACTTTTTCATTTGAATTACAGCTAATTATTTGTCCAAAAACATTTAAGTTCCAAGAACATTTAAATACCCCTCCATGTATCACAGTCACATCCAAAACTTAAGATAATCCTATCTAACAATGGACTGAACATACATCTATTGTGGAACATTCAAATGACCATCAACTCACATAACAACCCCCTCTGCGCCCCTGCCCTCAGATACAGTTTTCTGAAGTTCTAAAAGAAAGTTTCATCAGTTATGCCTGGGTCCCTGAGAACTTGAATGTTCTGACTAAAGGCAAGTTTTGGTAAAAATTACATTTTTACACCATTTCTTCTCATTTAGAATAAACAATAAGGTTTAGGCATCCTTTGGTGTTTTATATTTTTTTATAGCTCATATTATTCAAATTTCATCTGATACAAACAATTCTTTTCTCTGAGATTCAGTCCCGGGATGTGTGGCAGGTGAGTAAAGCTACATTTTGTTTAAACACTCACTTTCATCTTTTTGGAATGGGCAAAACCAAGAAAAACAGCACACATCACAATTCCTTTACCCACAGTGTTTTCCAGTTTTGTCTCAGGCGCTTAACAGATTGCTTCATAGTTACACCCAGAATCAGATGGCATCATTATGCCCAGACCCATTAGAGAAAAACACATTAAAAATGTACATTTCCCCAAAATGAGTCAGTTCATTTTCATTTTACAACATGCATGATAAAAGGCCAAACACAAAAGCTCTTTTATTAGAAAAGGAGCAAAATGTATTCCAGAAAAGTTAAACAAAGACATGAGATAAATTCCAGTTAAATAGATCTATTTCATTGTGAGCTTTAAGAACTCATCTTAAACTCTGAATAGAGGCTGTTTTTCATTATAATTGTATCTATAGATCACACAGATAGAGAAGTGAAGTTTTTGCTGTAACTCTTACTTAATTTCTACAAGGTATTTTGAAGTCAGTTTTGAAGGCCGAAATCTCTACCTCTCCCCTCCATCACAGTTTCTGAAGTAGTGAAGAATTGTACCCGTACGACAGCACAGCAACAGGGAAGAGAGAGGTAGACGATGTGGCCATCCTCTTATAAGGAAACCCCTCCATATTCTAGGGCCTGAAACACAGGCTTTTATGATCCAAAAGTAGCTAATCACAGAGTGCAAAAAAACATTATGAAGAATGTACACAAGTATGAGAATCATAAGCAGCCAAACCAAGAATATTCATAGTAAATTCTTAGAGAGATGCATGTGTTCTCTGTACCGTACAAAAACTATTCTTGCAGGTTTGGGATCCATGAGTGAACAATAAAAATATTTGTTTTACATTTAATATAAAAACATACCAGCAAATAAAAAAGGCTTTGATGCTCCACGAGAAGAAATTTCAGAGGACACATTAATCTTCAGGGTGTCCCAAGGGTGACAAGTCCTGCGCACCCTGCTCTCGTCCTATGCAAAGGCCAAAGAGGGCACTTTCCCAGGGCTTGTCACTGCTCAGAGAAAACCGGAGGGAGGAAGACTCACGCAAGCTGGGACAGGAAATAAGAAGCCAAGACGGAACTCGGCCAAGCACAAGGCACCCTGCCTAAAAATAACTAAAAACATAAATCGAAGACAGTGCTGAGTGTACATCAAGGAAATTTGTATGAGTTTATGGTCTAGGTGATAAATATCCAAACGAAGTCAGTTACAAGAGGTGTGCAAATAAGTAATGGGGACTGGGGAGGGAGAAGAAAGAATATCTAACCTTCAAAGTAATAACTGCAAAGTACAGATTCAATAACTTCATGTCCCCCATTCCACACTCAAAGTGTACTTCTTACAAATCAGTAAGTAAAAGATGCATTGTTCACAAAATTCAGTTCTGTGTTAACATTTTTACCTGCTTAATTCAGGACCAGACACTGAGTTGCTTTAATAACACATTTGGTTATAGTTAGTTGTAATTATTACCCATTTTTTTATCTTTATAAGTTAGGACATTTTAGGTCAGCATTTATCCAAGCACGACTGCAGCCGCTCAGCTACAGGGAGAGGAAGAGTGTTGAGCAAGTTCTCCTCGACAATCAGGCAGCTCCGCTTTAGGGACTGACACGCTTCCAGTTCAGGGGGAAGTGTTTCCAGGTAGTTATCAACGAGCTCCAGATGAGTGAGGTTTGACAGCTCGCCCACGTGAGGGGACAAACTCACCAGGCTATTTTTCCCCAAAAGTAAGCACTGCAGCTTTTTGCACTGAAACAGCCCATCTGGCAGCATCTCAATCTGGAAAGGGGGGAAAAAAAGAAGCCAGTAAAACTATTTTTGATGGCCTATTATGTAATACATTTACTTATTATGCACACCTCTACCTTTCCCCCAAAACAGTTCTTGAAGTTGACATGTAACAGTGATGACAAATTTGAAGTAGATGCAAGTACAAAGGAAAAGTAAGCACATCCATGGTGAAGTCAGAATTGAAACTATCATTAACTTCTAAATCCTTGTTATATAGAGGTGGGCTACAATTTAGCTCTAAACATTCTCATAAACAATGCTCAAAGAAAACCTAATCAGTTATATACTCATTTTCCCTAAGATAAAAAACAAACCAGTAACTCAGGAGAATCATAATTATTCTTGAGCCCTGGATCAGAAATAAATTGCTCCCAAGAGTCCTCACATAAAGAATTTACTGTCTTATGTAATGAACAACATCCTGAGATCAGATATGAGGCTATTTTCTTAGGGTTTCACAGTAGAGACCAAAAATGTCATTCTGTTAAAAAAAAGTTGGCAGAAGCAGAGACAAGAAAATATGATAATAAACACATGTACATCTCATTGCCTTCTACATACACACTCATGAGTACTTATTTACCCTTCTTCCTGCTTTCTGGATGGTTCAATTAAATCATATAACAGAGAAATAATTTTAAATTTGATAAATGGGTGCAATTCAGTCAACTCCTAGAGCCACTCAGCGGAACTCCTCTATCTGATGGGCAGGTTGCCTGTGAATTTCTAGGGGAGCCACTGAGTGTTTATGAAATAGGGTTTATTATGGAAAGACGTCCAGGGGAGAGTTGAATATGCTCAGTGCCCTCAACTCACCATGCCACTGAGAGGTGAGTTTGGGCTGAGCAGAGCTGGACAGCACACACCTCACCCTATAATATTCCACGTATTTATACAGGTGGGGACAGGGCATCTTTGTTACTAGGAAACAGTGTGGCTCTTGGTTCAGAAAGTGGCTGTGTTAGAAACAGGGATGAAAGAGCACTCTAGAGGAGCTCAGTCTGCTCTTCTGATGGGCTAACACAGCCCCTCTGAGACCTGCTTTCTGCTGGAACTTCCAGGGCTGTCAGAATGGTCTCCAAAAAGATAAACATTCTCTGTAAAAACTAAAGAATGGCCCTATTGCGTTAAAAAATGCTCATTATGTTGGAATGCTCCATCACCCACACATACACTCAGTACTGGATAGCTTTTATACTAATCTAATGATCACCGTTGCTAAGATCAGCATTCAATATAGCTCATCACTGCACATCAAAATACTAGGTAGAAGCAACAAGAAAACATCTACTCTTATTTCATTCCCTTCTCAAAAATGCAAATGTAACAGCATACATATGTAGGTTTCATAGCAGAGAGAAGAGACCGAAGAAATGTAACCCCTCTGGTCAGAGACATTGGCAACTGGGGAGCAGGGTCAGTGACATATATGGAGAGGAAACAGTCAGTCCTGTGCAATGTGCTCAGGGTTGATAGTGCCTGCTGGTGCCTAAGAAATGACTTAGGCAAACTGGCTGAAAAGGGAGAAGGCCTGGCTTATCTGCATTTGTAAATGTGTGCTGAGAGCCTCGGTTTCTGCTTAGGCATTGGGGATAAAGTGCTGAGCAAGGCAGATGGGTCTTTAAGAATCTTAGTCTAATGCAGGGTTTCTCATCCTAGGCTCTGGTGATATTTGGACTGATAATTCTTTGTGTGGTGGGTGCCCTATGCACCGTAGGATGTTTAGCAGCATCCCTGGCCTCCACCTACTAGATGCTGGTGCCAACCAAAAACGTCTGCAGGCAATTGTCTCCTGAGGGGCAAAGCTGCCCCCATTTGAGAAGCACTGGTCTAATGGGAGAGAAAAATATTAAACAATTACACAAATAATTAATCTGTAATTAGTGTTATGAAGAAGAGAGCCCTAACCAGAGGTGCATCAGGGTACCCCCCATCTCCTTTCCTCCATCTGTGTCCAGACCCTAGCAAGAACCTCACTAAATCTCACTGATTGCCTAGTGGGTGACTAACCCTGAAACCACTGCTCTCACTCTCCTTCTGTCCAGCTACCAGCACCACCACATTCTCACTGATCTTTCAAATCTCTGACTTTGTGATTTCAGTGACTTCTCAGCCCCCAACACAGGAAGGGGATGTCACAGGGTAATGGGACTGGGCCTCTGGGGCCCAGCTGTCAACATGTCTCTGCTGCTGTTGTCAGAGTGAGTGAAGGGCTGTGGTTAGCAGAACCACTGAGTGCCAGGTGACCATCTCAGGGGCTTTTCTCAGCATCAGCACACCTTGCTAAAGCACAAGACCTTAACTCACCTACTTGAATTCAGTTAACTAAAGAAGCCCGGGAAGCTGTGTTAGAGACTCAAGACCATCTTTCAACTCAGCAATTTTATCCTGAAAAATCTACTTACACCTTTAAAAATGGTTTGCCCCAAAGCTTACAAGAACACCAAACACTTTTTGTCTAGGCCAATAAATTTTATTTAAAAATGTTTGTATAGTATTTATTAATGCTGAACTCATTTATCATGTTCTTTCTTAGACTTTATAATACATGAGCCAGAAAGAAAAGAACTACCTGGTGGACCACTGATTTCTTTTCAAAAACCAAAAGAAATATTTATAAACTTAAGCAGGTGGATGATAAAGTTCATAAACAGAATGGTTCTACAGATTGAACATATTATAAACTATAAAATAAACAACAAAAAAACTAATGGTTACAACACCACTCACTCCAAATTCTAGAGTTACCTGGCAATCAAATGTATTCGACAAAATTTACTGATACTCCCACAACAGCCAAAGAAGGGTGACTCCCTTCCTATATCTGCGGCCAACACTGATAATGAAATGCTCCACTGTTTCCCAGAGGCTGGGACCTTACTTCACAGTCCTTCTCAATGTGAGATTTCCTTTGTTTTCTGGCCACTGACACATGCTGTCTCACTCAGGACATGCCAACCAAATACATAAAATCCAGTCATTTCAAGAAACAAAGCGGAATATTTCCATTTCTGAGCAGTGATGTCAGAAACAATAGCCCTGCCACAGAAATAATCTTCTGCATTATACCACATTAATGTGTGAGGTAATGAGGAATTTCCACATTATCCACATTCTGGCTAGATTTCTTTAAGTTAATAAAAGAAATGCATTCAAGTCAGAAGACCTAGCTGTAAATTGGACTGGTTTTTAAGATTTGAGCAAAGCGTTAAATCCCCTGCTCTCCTCTTCCTTGTGCTTCACCACATCCACATGATCGGAACCTAATTACACTTTGGCACTGGGATAGAGATGGATGCCGCCCCTCCCTCTCCTGTCTTCCGCACACCACTCTCACGCTGTAACACCATGTGGACTGATGCATCTAACACATATTGGAAAGAGCTCTAAAGCAGGAGTTGAAACACTTAGGTTCCATCCCAGATTCATCACTAGGAATCTTCAGATCCCAGTTCAAATTACTCTACTATGAGTCTCACCTTCAGTATCAGTAAAAGGAGGGCAGTGGACTAGAACAGAGGCCGGATAGTAAATATTTTAGGTTTCATGGGCCTACTCACCAGAACTGAAAATTATGTAGGTGCTTACATAAAAAGAGAAAAAGATTTTCATACATTTTTAAGTGATGAAATTCAAAACATAACAATTGAACACCTTTTTTTTAAATATAGGCCTAATGAGAACAATAGAATTTATTCATGGACAATGAAATTTGAATTTCATATAATTTTTATGTGTGACAAAATATTGAAATTATTCTTTTGACTTTTTTACCCCCAACCATTTAAAAATTTAAAAGCCATTCTTTGCCCTGGCCAGTGTGGCTCAGTGGATTGAGAGCTGGCCTGTGAACCAAAGGGTCACTGGTTCGATTCCCATTCAGGGCACATGCCTGGATTGCGGGTCAGGTCCCCAGTTGGGGGCATGTGAGAGGCAACCACATATTGATGTTTCTCTCCCTCTCTTTCTCTAAAATTAAATAAATAAAATATTTTAAAAAAAACCCCAAACATTCTTAGCTCAGGCTGTGGGGAGATTTTGCTCCCAGGCTGTATTCTGTGGACCTCTGGCCCACAGTGCTCCTTTCAGACCTGAGTCTTTGTCTCTATTTTAGATCTGTATTCCTAACTACAAATCACAACTGAGTAAACCTTTTCATGGGGTTTTGTTTCTTGATGGTTCTCTCCCAACTTGTATGTATGCACAATCAGAGCCTCATTTGAAGCTACCAGTTCAAGCTAACTAGAATTTTCAAGATCAAGTCTTACCACAGCCACTATTCAATGAATCAAACATGCACTCTCCATTCTGACCACCTTGCTAAATGCTCTCACTTCTTATTGCACCTGGGCATGCCTGCTGCAGGCCTCTGTGCATGACGTCTGTCTTTTTATATTTCCCACATCCAGTGTTCGCAGGGTATGTTCCATACTCCTCCCAAGAGTTACTATGAGAAACAGTGTCTTGCTCACATAAGTTTGGCAAATGTTGCATACCCTCCCTCCCTGTTGCAGAAGCATAATGCATACTCATATTTTAAGGCTCTGAAGTATCCTGCTACAAAAATAGAAAAAGAAGTGATAAAATGATAAAAAGAAATGCTTAATGCTTTTGTGATAACACCTATTCCTACCTTGTGGAAGGAGCTCTGCAGTGTCCCTCACTGAATGTGTATAATTCGGGGAACTGCCCAACAGCTTTGATATCTAGAGAATGCCCTAACTCATCCCGGTGGGACTCCTGAAAGGAAGCAGAGTCCACTTCCCACTAGAGGAACCGACACCAGATTCTTGTGTTCCCAGCTGCCTTACAGCTTGAGTGTGACCATTCAAAACTGCCAATCCGGGGCTCAGATTTGGACTTTGAACTGGCACTAGCGTCACAAAGCAGCAGGAACCACGAAGAACCTATCCTATGGAAGGGCAAGGGCTGCAGTAGCAGCAGAATCAAGTTTTCGGAGCAGTACTGGTGCCCAGTGTGGGTCAGTGGCTGGTATCTCCACCATTTGGCTTTAGTGCCCTGATTCTGCCCGTGTTCCTTTTTGCTATCTACCTCTGTGCTTGTTTTCCAAGCATAATTCTTCAGCCTTTTCAGTGATAATAACTACACAACCTCTTTTCAAAAAATTGCCTTTTCTGCTTAACTTCAGAGTATTTGTTGCCTCCATCTAGGAATCTGATACACTGCTCAAGGCTTTAGAAGAGGCTTTAAAACATCTTTTGTCTAAAATCTTTACCAACTTCCATTCCAAATGGATCAATCAACTCACATTTTTGAGTATATGCATATCTAAGTATCTATGCATCTAATTTGATGTTTTATTTTCTAAATATTTGGTCTACCTCAAAGAATCATGAGAGTCTCAAGGTTAGAAGGAATCTTGAAATTAGCTAAGTCCCTACATGAAACGTGAAGTCTCTGATTTCCTTTAAAAACACTCCTATGAAGTGGTTGACAATCTATATCTGCACAGTTTTATTAATAAGAAATTCACTTTCCTTTCTCAAATGTTCACTCAATCTTTAGACCACTTTTTGGGGATGATGAGAAATTGGCTTGTCCTAGTCCCAATATTCATGGGTACTCCCAATAAGCTTTCTTTTCTATTTGTTTTCCAAATTTTTGAAGACTGGTTTGTGGACTATTCTCTGTCCTTTTTCTACCCAGTTCTTCCCATCATTAGGCTAAGCTGTTCCATCAGAGAGGTACATCACTCTGGTTGCTGTCTTTAGAGTGAGTTCCAGTTTCTCCATCTTTATTAAGTAAGTCTCTTCACAGTTCTGAGAAGAGTGTTCCTCACCCATTCATTTTCATGGTCATCATTATGGTTCTCAGCAATAGTCTATCAGACTTTTGAGACAACCCAGGCAAACATATCATTATACTTTGGCCATAAACTGCCTTCAGCATAACATTTTTCATGTGCTATCAAACATCCTCTCTTATCCAAGACAGGATTGTGTCTGATACCCCTAATCTCTCGTTCAGACACAGTCGAGAAGTCAGTACACTTGGTGTCAAAAGTACCAATAGTCTTAAGGCTTCATTACATTAAACTCGAAAAAATGTTAACAAGTTTATACATTTAAATAATTCATGACCAGCTAACAATTTAATCATCTGAGACTTTCAAAACTTCATGTTGTGATTTAACTGTATGACTTGATGAAACCAATGCCTCTGAAGATATTTATACTTTTTATTATAGATTTAACAATAAAAACATAACCAAAATACTAATATTAATAATTGCATAATTAAAGGACACTAATGACAAATCTCTAGACCCGTAGTCTTCCAAGTCTGGTCACAAAACTAGCAGCATCCGCCTCATCTGGGACTATTTAAAACTGCAAACTCTTAGAATCCTACACCAGACCTACTGAATCAGAAACCCTGGGAGTGGGGTCCGTACTCGGGGTTTGAACAAGCCCTTCAGGTAATTCTGATGTGCATTGCTAACTCTAGATCAATCCTAAAAGAGTTTAGAGACCTTATAGTCCTTTACAACCTGGAGATTTCTCATTTATCTCAGAATGGGCTGCAGCCTTTTACGTATGTGTAGTCTTCGAGTTCTAAAAACCAACATGGATTTTACTCATTCCAATACTTTCTGGTATTTCTCTAACAATCCATTGATTTCCAAATTAGTATCTGGTAATTAATATATTTATTAGCCAATGCTACACTCATAGCTATACTTAGCATGAGATGTGAATTATAAAAGGTCTAGGAGATAACACATTTGTGGGTAGGGTAGAAGGAAACAGCTCTTGTTTTCAACTAGAAGATCACTTTCATCTTTTGGCAGACCTGAGTTCTGACAGGTCTTTTCTCCTTCTTTTCATATGGACATTGTCATCACTCTCTTGCCCTTTCGGCTAGCATGAATTTTTTTTTCCTCTTCCTTCATTTTAACCTAGGAAACTACTCATTTATTCTTTTTTTCTTGTTTCAAAGATGTTAAGTTTTCCTTAACTTGGCTCTACTGTTGCAAATTATGGTTCATTTTTAAAGCTTGGATGCTGGAAAAAGCTTCTAAGAAGCCCTAGTGTTGCATTATAGAACCAGGCCTTTCATTTTGAATCGCCTTTTCAGATATGCATGGAGACTTCAAATCTCTCTTACCGCATCACAGAAAAGATTTATGAATAACTCATGATCGCAGTATTTTTCACAAAAATTTCTGCTCCTATGACAGATTTGGAAAGCTGAAAAGTTTTATGAAACTTTCTAAGCATAATAGTTAAAACCTTCCCAAAATGAAAAGTAAGTTCTGTCATAACTAACTGGTTTTAAATACTTCAACTGTAATATTTATGTAAAATATGGGGAAAGAGAATAAAGATAACATATGTTGAGCAATTACCACGTGTCAGGAATTGGGCCAAGTGCTTACTTGGGCCAAGTGTTGTAGAGATTTCATAAAATCTCTACAACGACTTGTAAGTTAGGTAAAAAACTTATGCTCAGTGTTTTGGTAATTTGTCCATGGTTGCCTGTCTACTAAGTGGCAGTCAGGCCATTCTCAGAGGATGCTTAGCATGATTGGAAGTCCATCTTCTTTACCTACATCACACAGCACAACAGCAGACACCTGGAAGAGTGGCTGGCTGAACAAAGGGAAGATGGATTTACTTACATTGTTGTTGGTCACAGCAAAGTACTGCAAATTACTCAAATATTGGATTTCTTCTGGAATGAAGGTCAGGTGGTTATAGCTTAGATCCAAATAATGTAGTTTGGTGCATAGAAAAAGCTGCAGGGGCAGATTCTCAATATTATTATGGTCCAAAAACAGCTGCTCCAGATTAGATAATGCCCCAATTTGGGCAGGAATATAAGCAATGTTATTGTGCCACAATTTTAAGCAGGAAAGATTTTGGAGATGCTGAAAGCTAATGACCTCTTCCACAGTTTTAAGGTTATTTTCTTTTAGGTCTAACTCATGCAAATTGTTCAGACTGAAAATGGAGTGTGGAATGCGTTCAAGGTCACAGCTGATCAGCTCTAAACTTTTCAGATTGACCATCTTTTTCAGGTTGTTCAACACAACCAGTTTGCTTCCCTCATTATTGAGGGACAGCTTCTGCAGGGAAGGCAGGAGGTCTGTAATGACTTGTGGGATCCGGGACAGGCTGCTCTTCAAGTAGAGGGTCCTGAGGTTTTTTAAGTCCTGAAAGCCCTCCATCTGCATGGTGCTCAGCTGCTCAGGCAGGACACAACCCGACAGATAAAGTTCCTTGAGATTCTTCAGGTGAAATACCCAGCGTGGAATTTTCCCCATTTCAGTAAATTTCAGGCGGAGAATTTTTAAATTCTCCTCCAGGAAGGCCAGGGCAGGATGGTCCACCACCAGAGACGAATGGTACACATGAAGCTCCCTGAGGTTGACCAGCTGTGAGACTGTGGAGGGCAGCTTGACCTCAGGAATCAGCTCCAGGCTGAGCACTTCGATTTCAGTTAGCTCAAAAACATTGTCTGGAAGCCCGTTTAGCATGAAGAGATGCAGCTCTATCTTGTCCTGGGAATTTTTCACCAGCTTGCTTTTCAGTTTCTCAACTGTCCATTCATTATTGAGATTGATCTGTTTCAGTTTGTTCTCACTGACCTCTGACAGGAATATGGAGAAGCGTTTGGAATAAAGAGGATCGTACTGATCAGCCAGATGGAGGATGAAGGCGAAGTCGTTCTTGACATCAGGTATGTCACTGTATTTGCTTTTTTCTCTCAGTGCCTCAAAGGAGTATTGCTTCAGGGAGCTTCTCAGCATCCACCACAAGCTGTAGGAGGAGGTGAGGCCATAAAGTATAACCAAAATGACATAAAATGAAGCCAGGACCTTAAATATTTCTGCCAAGGAGTAGACACACTGGTAACGCTTATATCCTGTAAAAGCCTGCACATCAATTGAACAGTCAATTTCAAGGGTGATATAGCTTAAAAAATATGGAACATAAGTTATGATAAGGACAAACAAAATGACTTTGACTATTATCTGCTTCAGATAAATTCTGTAAATGATATCTTTCTGCTCCACGTGCATACGGAACCTTTTCACTTTTTCAAAGATGGCTTTGGCCTGTTCACCTTCCTTCTTGTCCAGGACACTGGAAGTTGGGCTTTCTATGCCAGCTGACTCCAAGCCAGGCTGCGGGTAGGACAATGACTGCTTATTGGCATCAACATCAGCAGAACACCCTGAGGATGAAAGCAAAACCTTGGACTTGGAGAGTGTCAAGGGCCTCACCGACTGCTCAGCCACGGTCTCTGACAGGGCGCGGGTGGTCCATGGGGAATCGAAGCATTTGTGAAGGATGGCCACAAAATGCTCGAGCCTGGAACTGGTGCTGGGGTAGTGAAGCCAGAAGTTGCTGCAGGCCGCAAAGATTAGCGTGTGCAAGAGCACCAGGTAGGGAAAAAACTTTGCGAACCAGTGGAGCTGCTTTTCATAGCAAACAGCGTCAATGTAGGAGTACTGTTGTCGGTGGAGGTCATTCTGGATCCTGAGGGGGAGCGGAAGTGGTGTCCCAGGATCAGAGGATGTGTTCACGCTGGCTTTCAGGATGTGCCAAGGCACAGTGCAGCGATTGTCGAATTCCACCTTACATGGAAGACAGCACAGAACCCTGCTTTGCGTAAGCTGGAGCGCTCCGGCCAGCACGGCCACCAGCAGCATGACCAGGGTGATGTAATACCAGAAGACGTCCCACCATGGTTTTAGGATATGATAAGATGACTGGGCGTCTGCTAAACATTTTAGCTCTGTTAGTGTAATCATGACTTTCCCCTGTAAAGAGTACAGAAACTGGAAGAGAAAAATAAAAGAAAAATCACTGAAGTAACAGTATCCAAAATAAGCATTTAACTCTAATTCTTATTCATACATAATCTACCTAAGTAGGATTTAGCTCAAGGGCAAAACCTTGAAGGGAGGATTGATCAAGGAGTACAGAAGTCTTCTGGTTTCCTGTGAAAATGTGCACTGTAAAGTAGCTTAGACTCGATATCATTTGGCAATAACCCGACTGGGGCAGGGCATGAAGCAACTCTCTAGCTTCCTCCTGGATTTTGACTCCAGGCTAAGCTATTAAAAAGTAGAATCCAATTTTTCTTCAACCAACACTGGGAAAACTTGTTCTTAGGCTACTTGTTCCTAGTTACATTTCATAACAAGCTCTTCCCACATCCTACCCCGACGCCTGGAGCATTGGTTGTAGCCTAAGACTTGTGTTGCAGTCACTACAAGGAACCTCTTCCAAGCAAGCACTGCTCTAAAAAATGACCCCTTTGGATAATCCTAGAGGGATGTACCAATGCTAATTTCAAAACAAAATGTAATATAATGCACTATCTCCTTTCCTCCAGAGTCTTGCTCTGTAACTTAAATTTATATCCAATTTAGAGGATTTAAAAGGTGATAAACAACAGTAATGGCTTAAACAGGGATTGGGAATAAAAATTCAGAACAATATTTTACTATGGAGACTCTTATGTTTGAAGTTGTCATGGCAAAATACTAATAGAAGAAATGATTAAGGGCAGAGTCTATTATTAAATTATTTTGCCTTCAGAGAAGCAAAATGAATTTTGCATATTCATATTTAAAAGTACTCAATGTTCCTTACATAAATGATTTATGTAACATTCAGAAAGAAACATTACATAAAACATTAAAAAAATAATTAAATTAAAAGAAACCAATTGTTTAAAAATTCCAGACCACCTTTAAGATGGCATAGAGTAAGCAGATAAAGGGAAGCATTTCAATCTAATAACACATTTGGTAAGAAAAAAGAAGAAAATGCAGACAAGTGTAACTGAACAACAATAAAATTATTTTTTAAAAAAGAAGAAAAAAGCCGCTTGCCACGGTTACCTTTTGCAGGTGGTCCAGTTCTAACTTATGTTCAAGGGCTTCTCTTGTGCTTTCTTGACTGTGAAGTCTCAATTATCTTTCCTGGCTCTGCATTTCTCTTTCTAGATATCCTAGTCCTAGCAGCACTCCCAAGGAAGCCTTTTTTGAGCTTATTCATCCCTCTTCTAGGGACTGGCATCCTGCCTTAGACCCCAGAATTCCATTACAGATGGCTCTTCTACCTGTTCATAAGTGTGTTCTCTTTTGCTTGTCAGCTCCAATATATTTATCATCTGACCCTGCTTGTCAGCTCCAACATATTTCTTATCATCTGACCCTGAACTTTATACCTTCATGCTCTCCCGTTTGTTAGGGCACCTCATGATTCCTCATTTTAATTGCTGGACTGGAGCACCACTTTCTACCTGTATCCTCTGTGGACATCCTATCCTATTATAGGGATTCAACTTCCTCTTAGGACCTGTTGCTTAATTATACAAGTCTCCAGGCTTTCCCTCCTTTAGTGTGTCTATTTCTAACTCTCAGCTCCTCCATACTGTCTCATCCAACTGCAGTTAACCATAATTGTGTGTCAAGACAAGACAAAAACCAAAATCAAGAGGACTGTATGCGACAAAGAGAAAGTCCTTGCCTTAGACCCCTAAATACCATAAACATGATGGCAGGCAGGATGGTAGAAAATATTGCTGGATGAACATGGTGAAAAATACCTAGAGATTTTAGTTGCCACGAATATATACTTTGAGCTAATAGTGCTAACTATAGTTATAATGTTACTATTGTGTAACCTGGGGCCACATTAATAGGTGAACCCAGATAAAGGGATAATAGTCATTCTGTCCCTGCTGGTGAGATCACACCCCACAGATTAACTATAAAGTGGGTAACAAAAAATCAGGAGCTACTTGCCTATAAACCATTGTCCACAGAGAAACACAGGTAACTGATGATATTCAGCTGAGATTAAAAATGATTAGGGAAGGTGAATCCAAGATGGTGGTGGAGTAGGTGGGAACTACACTCACCTCCTCCCAGGACCACATGGGAATTACAACTAAATTATACAGAATAATCAACCTGAATAGCCAACTGAAATCTAGTTGAACAGAAGTCTTATAACCAGTGATTTACAGAAAAAGCTACATTGAGACTGGTAGGAAGGGAGGAGACGCAGAAAGGGCTGTCTTTGCACCCACATCCAGCAGTTGAGAATTGGGAGGGATATGTCAGCTGCAAAGATCCCTCCTTAGGAGCAAGGGTTCTCAACCCCATGCTGGGATCCCCAGCCTGGAAACCAGAGTCAGGCAGAGAAACACAAATAACATTTGGCTGTGAAAAGCAGTGGGGATTCTGACCACCAGGGAGAGATGGGAGTCTGCTGGAAACCTAGGCATGGTTTCAAAGGGCCAGAGAAAAAACGTCTCATTTGTGCCACTCACCATGGGCTCTGGAGGAAGGTGGATCAGAGCGCACTGGAGTAATTCAGGGAGAGACTGGGTTGTGTACCTTAGGGGAGAGAGCTGAAGGGACAGCTGCCAAAGTTCCTGTACTGAGTCCCTCTCCAACATCATCTTTCCTGGGCCGAGCACTGCCCTCCATGCCACATCAGCCTGGAGGAATGCACCAGCCTCACCGGCTGACTCTCTGTGGCTCCGATCTACAGAGCTCCCGGCCTGCATCTGAGTTGGCTGGCTGTGGCCAGCCTGGGCCAGCAGTGCAGAGTTTGTTGGGTGGCTCTCAAGGTGATCCAAGCACATTCTCGGGGGGCTGGTGGTGGTGTAAGAGATGACAGGGAAGGACTCTAGGGCAAGGGCCATTTTTCCCTCATACACACGAGAGCCACCATTCTTCCTGTGCAGAGACTTCCTTCCACATATCCACATCTTGGTATGTTTTCACCTGATGAACTGCACCGCTTCACCTTGATTACTCCCTGGGACCCTGCCCCACCACATGGGTCCCCTGACCTTAGGCAGGAGGCAGGTGGCAGCTGGCCTTGGTGTATACTGACACTTGCTAAGTGGACTCAGGCCCAGCACCTGGAGTTTAAATCTGTATCAACTTGGTAAGACTACCCACCCCTAGCAGCTGACTCACTAAGAACCTACCTGATACAACTCACACATTGCCGGAGGCATTTTCAGTGACTGAGCCCAACAGGCAGCTGGCAGGCAGAGGTGTGTCTTGGGTGCCTTAGGCCTTTTGCTGATCTTTCCCCAGGCCTGGTGCTGGTAGAAGCTAGGCTTGCTACACAGCTTAGTCCCTCCCATGGGTACCCAGGCCAAGCAGAAGCAGCCACAAAATGTACATCACTTTATAGTTCCAATCAGGTAACCCAGGGCTGGTCACAGGCATGCCTGACATTGACCTGCACTAGAGTTTCTCCCAAGAAGCCCCAGAACCCACACACCAGGTGACAGGCTTTAGGCCACATCAGAGAAATTATCCCATAAGTGGCACAACCAAAGGGGAATGTCAGCAGGTACCAGCACCTGCTGAGGTGAATTCCATTTTGTTGGGTTAAGTCCCAGTAGGCCAACTTGTACACTATGGTCAAAGTCAATCCTCATAGTCAGCCAAGCCAGTCTGAGAGTCAACACCATCAAGAGAAGCCAATAGTACTCCAGACTCAACTACAGCAGAAAGGCTCTCATAAGCCACACAAGAGACATTCCTGAAGCATGCAGGTCAGGTAATAAGGGAGGCTGCTCCACAAAGCCCCATTGGATGCCTACTACATGAGATCACCATACCAAGACTGGGAGGCACAGCAGATCTACCTGGTACACAGAAACAAATACAGAGAGGCAGCCAAAATGGGGAGGCAAAGAAACATGTCCCAAATGAAATAACAGAAAATCCCCAGAAGAACTAAATGAAATGGAGGTAAGCAATCTACCACATACATAGTTTAAAACAATGGTTATAAGGATGCTCAAGAAACTTAGGGGAAAAATAGATAAACTCAGTGAGAACCTTAACAAAGATATGGTAAACATAAAAACCATAAAAAAGAACCAATTAGGCTTATTTCACTTAGCATAATGCTCTCCAGGTCAGAGGAAGACAAGTACCATATGATTTCACTTAGATATGGAATCTAATGAAGAACATGAACAAACAAGAAAAATACAGAGACAGGGGGAGCAGACTAACAGCTTTTGGGGAAGGTGGGATGGGAGGCTGGGTGGGGAGGTGGAGGGATTGAGTGAAAAAGAAAAAAAGAGAAAAATCTCATGGACACAGACGACACTGTGGTGATTGCTGTGGGGAAGGTAGAGGAGGGTACGGGGGATAAATGGTGATGGAAGGAGATTTGACTTGGGGTGGTGAACACATAATACAGTGTACAGATGATGTGTGTGGAATTGTGCACCTGAAACCTGTATAATTTTGTTAACTAGTGTCAACCCAATAAATTCAATAAAAAGAAAAAAAAAGAAACAGGAGTGACATATGCTCTAATAAACAAATAAAAAAACCTAGGAAATACCTAAAATTCCACACATTTCTCCAAAATATTTCAGATCCACAAAGCTCTTAGACTGACATTTGATTTTGTATTTCATTGATATATTATTGTAAAAATGCTTTGGCTTTTTCCTCAGTAAAACCAAACAAAACTTATAAGGTATGTTCTTCCAAATAAAAGCAGTCATGGCTTCAACAAAACCGTTGTATACACAGCTGTGGCAATATTTAGATATGTAAGCATCTTAGTTGAATGAGAAATATACATGCATCCAACATGTAGTTGACTTTACAGTTAATTTTAATGAGTATGATGGATAATTTAAGAGGGTGTGACTCCCAGGTTCATACTCCAAATCTCAGTAGTAAGTTATTTCAGCAGGTGTCTAACTTATTATATGTTACCCAATTAACAGTTAAGGTCAGATTATTTTAGATGAAAAGAAATGTAAAGGCCATTTTCTGAATTTGGTATTCAAATACAAAAGTTGGCTTCACTATCACTATTAAATTGGTCTCAAAGACTGCTAATTAGACCACTGTCTAATAGACAACCAATAATAAAGAACCAATAGTTTATGCTGGTTGTTTTTCTATGGCTTTGCCCCAAGTAAAGCTGATTTTTAGAGGTATGCTATGATACAATCCTAGAGGAATGATCATTTGTTTGCTGGATCTTTGGACACTGGAAAGAGGAATGCAGGGAAGTCAGCACAGAAAGAATGATAAAGAGGAAAACAAGAATGTATTGAGCACCTACTGTATTCCATTCATTGTGTTCAATCAGCTTGTTTAGTTTCACAGCTGCCTTAAGAAACAGAGGTCTCCATTTTATTGGTGAGGACACCAAGGCAAATAGTGGTTACTTGCCAAAAGCATCCAGTTGATAGTCAGCTTTCTGTTGCCTGAGACCCCTAATGCCATCTGCACACTTTCTGTTGTACTATGCAGAAATAGACAAGTACAGCTGGAATAGAAAAGGAGGAGAGGAAAGGGAGGAAAGAAAAAAACTGAGAAAAAATGAGAGAGTGCGATGAAATGCTGCTGATAGTTACTCAAGGTTAATTCTGCCTCCAGTGAGGGTAATCGTAAGCAAGCCTGCAAATTGGGAATACCTCGACCCATCTTCTTCCAGTTTCTGGGTCACGTGGCTCCATCTTTGCCATTTCGGGAGGAACTTAGTTTTAGGAATCTATATGGTAAATTCTCAACTTAATGATCATCCCTCCCAGAGACATTGCTATATAACAGGAAAATTTTGCCAACAGTATAATGACAATTTTCTGCAAAATGCACTTGAGAAGAGGACATGTATTTGTTTAGTAGGAAGATCCAGCTTCCAGGTTAGCTTGTAAGCGGGTGGTCTAGGTTTTATTTTTTTTTTTCAGAGACAACTTTCTTGAGTCTTGTTTTCAGTTGCTACAATACTACATTTTTAGATTCCTCACATTCTGTCACCTTTCACTCTGGTTTGGAAATCAGGAGGACTTCCTTCCCTGGAGGAAGCCCTTTCCTATCTCTGTAGCAATCTGACTTGAAGGCTTATAAAGATGTTTTGTTTTTATTTCAATGGAAAAAAATCAAAGAACCAGAAATGAAGAGTACGATAGATGAAATGAAAAAATACACTAGGACAAATCAACAGCAGATCAGGTGATGCAGAGGACAGAGATAGTGATTTGGAGGGCAAGGTATCAGAAAATATCCAACTGGAAAGGCAAAAGGAAAAGAATTTTTAAAAAATGAGAAGAGTTTAGACCTGGCCATGTGGCTCAATTTCTTGGAGTGTCATCCTGTGCACCAAAAGATTGCTGGTTTGATTCCCAGTTGGGGCACAGGTCTCGGCTGTAGGTTTGATCCCTGGTTGGGGCATGTACGAAAGGCAATCAGTTGATGTTGCTCTCTCTCCCCCTGCTCCCCTTCCCTTCTCTCTTTAAAATGAATGAAAACACATCTTCAGGTGAGGATTAAAAGAAAGGATAGTTTAAAGGAAATATGGGACATGAAGAATAACCATGTTTGAATCATAGGGGTGCCAGAAGGAGAAGACAGTGAGTTAGGGATGAGAACTTATTTGAGGAAATAATCACTGAAAACTTCCCTAACCTGGTGAAGGAAGAAGACATACAAGTATAGAAGGTGTGGAGTGTTCAAAACAAGATTAACCCAAAGTAGTCCACACTGAGGTATCATAATTAAAATGGTAAAAGTAAAAGACAAAGATAGAATGTAGAAAGTAAAGACTTAAATGTAAGACTCGAAACCATAAAACTCCTAGAAGAAAACATAGTAAAATTTCTGACATTTTGCCTTGGCAGAGTAGCTCTGTCGTTTGGAGCATCATTCTGATGCGCCAGGGTTGTATGTCCAATCCCCAAGTCAGGGCACATACAAGAGTCAACCAATGAATGCATGAATGGGTGGAAAAACAAGTCAATGCTTCTCTTTCTCACTCTAAAAAGATTATAAATAAATATTTTAAAATATCTTTCACATTTCTCCACACAATATGGGACTAGATCAAATTCAAAAGTTTTGCACAGCAAAGAAAATAATGAAACAAAAAGACAACATGCTGAATGGATGAAGATATGTACCACAGATACATCTGGTAAGGGGTTAATATCCAAAATTTGTATAGAATTCATACAACTCTGCTAGAAAAACAAACAATCCAATTAAAAAAATAGGCAGAGGACCTGAATAGATACTTCTCCAAAGAGGACACACAGATGGCTAATTAACATATGAAAAGATACTCAACTGCCCATCTGTAGACGTTTAGATAAAAAACTCAGTGGTATACATATACAGTGAACTGTTAGTCATAAAAAAAGAATAAAATCTTACCATTTGCAACAGCATGAATGGATCTAGAAGGTATTATTCTAAGTGAAATAAATGAGTCAGAGAAAGACAAACACCATATGATTTCACTTAAATATGGAATCTACAGACCAAAACAAACAAATAAAACCGAAGGAGGCTTATAGATACAGAGACAGGCGGATGGTTGTCAGATGGGAAGAGGTTTGAGGGAATGGATAAAAACATTGAAGGGACTGAGAAGTACAAAGTGGTAGGTACAAAACAGTCATGGGGATGTAAAGTTCAGCCAAGGGAATATTGTCAATAATATTGTAATAACTAAGTATGAAAGGTGGGAACTGGAAATATCAGAAGGAACACTTTGTAAAGTATGTGACTAACTACTATGCTGTACACCAAAATAATATTGCATGTAAACTGCAACTGAAAAAATAAAATAAACAACAAAAATGAGTAGGGAAACAATATGGCAAAATGCTCTAGAGGAAGCCCTAGGTGGGTGACATTTCAGAAAGTCATATTTTGATTCAATTTGCAGTGGAACATCCATAGAAATGGCAAGTCTGTGAAAGAGTTCAACCCCTTCTCCCCACCAAGGTCCAGGTGAATAATATGATCATTTGTCAGGGACATTGTAAACGAATTTCTTCTAATGGATAAAGGGCATGAACCAGAGCATCTCTAAAGGCTCTTCCAGCTCTAAAATCTTGGGTTTATTTGTTCTCTCAAGGTCCAGAGTTAAATTAATTCAAGATATGCAACTGAAGTTGCAGAAAAATATAAACTCGAACAGCGCTAACAATGATAAAGGTATTTGACAGAGAATGAATATTTATTCAACAAAGAACACAAGTCAACATTGACCAAAATAATGTGCTTTAAATATTTATACTTACGTCAATAAAAATGATTCCAGTAATTCAACAATGCTTCAATCAGGAGGCCTACACCTTTTAAAATTTCTTAGACACACCATCTCTGTATTTGTCTTCATTCTACGAGAAAGCATAGATATCTTGAAATAGCTGCAGTTACTTAAAAAAAAACTGGAGATACTGTATTCAGAGAACTTCATCATAAGACATAATATGAGAAATAAATTTCATAAGTCAGTTTACTGTTCACTTTGAGGCATATCCTAGTAAAGCTATATACACAGGATCCCAATTACATATCAAATCACACTCACTCTCTGAACTCCCTTAAGTTACAGAAAAATTTCTACAGAAATTTAGACAACAGATTTTAAAATCCTATATCCACACACTTAGATGAGCACTTAGCTTTTCCCAAGTAGTCTACAAATCTTAATTTCTCTCACTCAGTCTTCATACAGTTGGGTTTACTTATTTATCAGATGTTCTGTCAAACCCTGTAATTTCTGCACCAAATTTAAAACCACACATCTATCCAAATAAGGACACTCAGGGCTCTTAAAACTTAACCTGCTGATTTAATTAGAAATAGTCACAAGTAAATAACTTAAGACACAGCTTAGAAATATGGCTTAATCTGTCTAAAATTATGATATTATTAAATGCAGCTACCCTTTTAAATTACTTTTACCTTTGAGGTAAATAAAAGTCAATTTTAGCATCTTCAAACAATCATTTGCAATAGTTTATATTTCATATAAGAGATCTGTCTGGAAAAAGTCCAGCCATTGTTAATATAAAGAGAAAGGTTTGCGCCACATCGATGTAATCTGGCAGCCAAGGAGAGTGGACTGGAATGTGCATGTGTGAACAATGATGACTTCACTGTATTAGTCAGTGGGGGTGGTAGACACCACTGAGTGAGTATGTGTACTGTGTGATCATCGCATTCAACATGACTGAGTAAAGCAATGAATCTGCATCAAATTTTGCATTAGGTTTGGACATTCTTTGGCAGAAACTATTCTGATGATTCAGAAGGCTGTAGCTATGGGCAACTGGTGATTGGCAATTTTATCATGACAACGTGCCCACTCATGCATCATGTCTTGTGCACAGATTTTTTGCAAAACATCAAATCACCCAGGTAACTCAGTCCTGCTACAGCTCAGATTTGGTGTCCTGTGACTTCTAGCTTTTCCCAAAACTAAAATCACCTTTGAAAGGGAAGTGATTTCAGACCATCAATGAGATTCAGGAAAATACAATGGGGCAGCTGATGGCACTTGGGAGAACTATGTGAGGTTCCAATGTGCCTACTTTGAGGGGACTGAGGAGTCGTTGTACTATGTACAGTTTCTTGTGTCTTCTTCAATAAATATCTGTATGTTTTTATATTACATGGGTGGACATCTCCTGGACATACCTCGTATATCAGTTTGAAATGCAACAACATTTTAAAACAAAAAATTGTTAAGTTTGGTGTGAAAAATTTTTGGTGCCCATATAACTGCTGAAAGTTTGCTGGGAAGGTTATTATATATTTTACATTTGCCCTGATCCTATATATGATCCTGTTTTGGTTTATTAGGTACTTAAATCCAGTTCAGAGTATTGAACCCAAATTTTATTTCAGATATCTTTAGCAATAATCTTACAATCTTGTTATTTTTCAAAGATTAAAAAATTGGACATGTCTGAAATTTACTTTGGGTTTATCAATTTATGTGTAAAGCTTGCTTAATAATTACTTACCACTATTAAATTATTTTGCAGGCCAGGGAGCACGGTGTGCATGACAACCTAGCTTTATACCAACTCATATTTAACACCACTGGAGCAAGAGTTTCTTATTCACAATTTATTTTTCAAAGGCTTATTACATACAATACACAACTGCATTTATGTGCAGCAAGCATGATAAAGACATTTGATGTATGAAACATTTTAACATACATATTCTTCCATTGCATCTCCAATATGCCAGAAAAGAAATTACTGCATAATTCCAGAATGTGATTCAGCGATGATGATACTTCTGGTATACAATATAATTTTTATACTTTGCAAATATACTTTCTATTTTAAACACAGTATTTCTATAAAAGCAGAGATATAAATCTCAAATTATATTAATATTTTTATTTATTTTATCCTCACCTGAGAACATGTTTTTCATTGCATTTTACAGAGAGATGAAGAGAAGGAGGGAAGGAGAGATGTGGGTCGGGGGGAGAGAGAGAGGGAGAGAGACTGGTTGCCCTCTTGTATGTGCCTCTACTGGGGGTAGAACCTGCAACCTAGGTATGTATGTGCCTTCACTTGGAATTGAACCTGAGACCTGTTGGTTTATGGCACAGCATTCCAACTAACTGAGCCACACCAGCTAAAGCTATAGTAAGATCTTTAAGTAATCACAGTGAGAAACTACTATAACTAATCTGTTAGAAAACTGTAACTTACTTCAGGTTCACCATATTTATTCTAAATGAAAATTATTTGTAAAGAACTTTTATATTTTTAAGCATTATAAACTTTTCCTCTAATCACCTAATGTAGATTTCCTTTGATGAGTTCCTTGTCAATAAAAGAAAAATCTAGTATTATTAATAATGTAATATCTAGTTTCCCAGTTTCAAGTCAGTTTCATTTATATTTATTTTATACTTACAACAAGCCACTGAGTTAAATATTATTTTTCACATTTTATAAAGAAAATAAGGTAGGCCCAAAGAAGTTACCACGTCCAAGGTGACAAAACCAAGAAGAAATAGATATTTTAAAAAAACCTAAGTCCTCAGACTCAAATTTCAAGCCTTGTCCACCAGAGCACACCGTCTCATTCAGTCCAATTAACTATGCCAGTCTCGGATCTCTCAGAAGCTAAAGAGAAAGCTGAGTATTTAAATCTCTTCTTCAATTGCAATGGCTTAACATGTGTGTCCTTCTCAAAAACACATGGAAAACCTACTCCCCAATGTGATAATATTAGGAAGTAACACCTCTCGGAGGTAATGAGGTCATGAGGGGAGCCCTGATAACAGAAGTAGTGTGCCTATAAGAGGAACCCCAGAGAGCTCTCTTGCCCCCTCTGCCAAGTGAGGACACAGCAAGGTGGCTGTCAATGAACTAGGAAGTGAGCTCTCTCTCATCAGACATAATGCACTTTGAACTCAGACTTTCTATCCTCCAGAACTGTGAGAAATAAATGTTTGTTAAGTCAGCCAGTCTACAGTAGCTTGTCATAGCAGTCCCAACTGATTAAGATATCAATTTATTCCAACATCTGCATTATAACTGGGTTCTATTATAATCTTTTGAAAAACAAAGATGAAAACATACAGTTTTCTGCAATGTCTCCAGTTACATATTATGTAATCTACTTTCTCGGCCAACATTTTGTCCTACTTTTCCACTGATCTAAGAGTAAATACATAAACATATAACATCTGAATTTAATGATATATGAAAAGTCCCACGCATTCCTAATATATTAACTGGTGTTAATTTTTCTCATTGAAGCATTTAACTGGAAAGCTACAGCATAGTGGTCTTTTGTCATTACAAAATTTAATACTGTTTGTGTGTCTGGGAAATTTTTTCCAGACCATATTATTGCAGACAAGAGGACTCAATCCAAATCAGATCTCTATTTCTAATACACAAATGCACTAAATCGGTGCAAAGAAACAATGTTAAGAGTGAAGGGTCTTATGATCCTAATCCCATTTTTAGCTTTTGAACCTCATTTAAAAATCATAAAAGCTTTTCAAAGCACATGAATTCATTTGACAATCTCACCCCCAAGTCTCTAAGACTGGAACAACAAGACTCAAATTAGATGTCTTTACTTTCCACTAATCCTTATTTTACTTTGAAAGCATTTCCAAAATAACCAGGGAAAAAATAAACAAATGATGATCCAATGGTATTTAGAGTCATTATATACCAAGAACTGGAAAGTACTTCAGAGATCCCTGTCTCTGACCTCAGGCAGAGAGATAGCCTAACAGTTCAAAATGGAGTTTGTCTACTTACTCTCACTGAAAATTGATGTGAAAGTCATTTTATATCCCTTCAAAATGTTTAGTACTACTTTGAGATGTTTGTTGGTTCTAACATATATCTAACTGAAATTTAAATTCACCTCTTTGAGTTCTCTCTCTGGGAAACAAAGCATCAATGTCCCTGATTAATTTGCTCATTTATTTTAAACAATTTTTGAGAGAGGTGTCACTAACAAGACACTTGGTATGCCAGTTTATGTCCCTTACCAGTTGTTTCAGATCTTGTTAGTATAGTAACTTTAAATAACACCCATCCCAAATCTAGTTGTAATTTTGAGACCTAGAAGAGAACTAAGATTTATCCAGGAAAGTGTTTCTTTTACATCCATGAAAATCACTGGAGAGCTTGTTAAAACACAAAGTAAGAAGTCCTACCCTCAGAGTTTCTGATTCATTAGGTCTGACCTAGGCACCAAGGATGCACATTGCAAACAAATTCCTAGTTAATGTGGCTGCTGCTGGTGCAGAGACCACTGAGAAGAGTCACAAATTCTTCTCAATTTTGGCTTCACATTAGAACCACCTGGGGCACTATTTTAAAAAACTTAAATCCAGGTCCCACTCCCACAGCACAATTCAATTTGGCCCAGGGAAGGCCAAAATAATAATTATTCTTATTCTTATTATTCTTATTATAATTATTATTATTACTACTATTATTTTCTAAATCTTCCCAGGAGGCGAAAGCCCACAGGACAGACTGGTGATAAAATATCTGGGGAAAATGCCTACCTTTAACGTCTTTTGGAAGTTTCACTAGATGTTAAGGATACACACCCCTCCACAGACTGCAAATGAACAGCTACCATCTCCCACATGAATCCCTCAGAGGCTCAGCTACATGACAGAACAAAATAGTGAGTCACTGAGCAGTAGAGATTTGTGTGAATGGACTTAAGGAGAAGGGATTAGAAAAAAGGAGGTAGCTGTAAGGCTATTTCAATCATGTGGCTCAGAAATAGTAAGGAAAAAATTTTAATGTATTTGAAAAGAAAGCTTTCACAGACATAGAACAAACACTCCAAAAATTTATATGGAATTATAAACGACCCCGAATAGCTGCTGCAATTTTGAGAAAGAAGAGTAAAGTAGGAGGGATCACAATACCCGACACTAAACTATACTACAAGGCTACTGTAATCAAAACAGCCTGGTACTGGCATAAAAACAGGCACATAGACCAATGGAACAGAACAGAGAGCCCAGAAATAAGCCCAAGTCTCTATGGTCAATTAATATTTGACAAAGGAGGCAGCAACCTAAAATGGAGTAAAAATAGCCTCTTCAACAAATGGTGTTGGGAGAACTGGACAGCCACGTGCAAAAAAATGAAACTTGAGCACCAACTTACACCACATACAAAAATAAATTCAAGGTGGATAAAAGACTTAAATATAAAATGTGACACCATTAAAGTCCTAGAGGAGAACGTAGGTAGGAAAATCTCAGATATTTCACGAAGAAACTTTTTTACTGACTTGTCCCCTAGAGCAAGGGACATAAAGGAAAGAATAAACAAATGGGACCTCATCAAAATAAAAAGCTTCTGCACAGCTAAAGAAAACAGTACCAAAATGAAAAGAGAACCAACTGTATGGGAAAACATATTTGCCAATGACACCTCAGACAAGGGTTTAATCTCCAAAATATATAGAGAACTTACACGACTGCACTCTAAGAAGACAAGGAATCCAATTAAAAAGTGGGCAAAGGATTTGAACAGACACTTCTCCAAGGAGGACATACAGAAAATCCAAAGACACATGAAACGATGTTCAATATCGCTAGCTATCAGAGAGATGCAAATTAAAACCACAATGAGATACCACTTCACACCAGACAGAATGGCCATCATAAACAAAGCAACAAACAACAAGTGTTGGAGAGGTTGTGGAGAAAAGGGGACCCTAGTGCACTGCTGGTGGGACTGCAGACTGGTACAACCACTATGGAAAGCAGTATGGAACTTCCTCAGAAAACTAAAAAATGGATCTGCCTTTTGACCCTGCAGTTCCACTGCTGGGACTCTATCCTAAGAATACTAAAACACCAATTCAAAAGAACCTATGCATCCCAATGTTCATAGCAGCACAATTTACAATAGCTAGATGCTGGAAGCAACCAAGATGCCCATCAGTAAATGAATGGATCAAAAAACTATGGTACATTTACACAATGGAATTCTATGCAGCAGAAAGAAAGAAGGAGCTCCTACCCTTTGCAACAGCATGGATGGAGCTGGAAAACATTATGCTAAGCGAAACAAGCCAGGCAGTGAAAGACAAATACCATATGATCTCACCTTTAACAGGAACCTAAATAACAAAACAAAGAAACAAGCAAAATATAACCAAAGACACTGAAATAGAGGACAGGCTGATGGTGACCGGAGGGGAGAGAAGAGGGAATTTAAGGGGTCAGTGGGAAGGGTTCACAGGAACAAACTTAAAGGACACATGGTCATAGACTAAGGGGAGGGTGGGAGGGGGGACTGGATTGGGAGTAAAAAGGAGAAAACTGTATTTGAACAATGATTAAAATAAAAAAAAATAAAAAAAAAAGAAAAGAAAGCAAAGAAAGAAACAGTCACTATAAATGAAAATTCACATCACTTGCTGGTACTGAATAGGTCCATGGAAAAGTAGGAGTCAAATTGATTCACATTTTGATCCTATGACATTGTAGTATTGTCCACAGTTTCTAGCATTCAGCGCACAATAAATATTTGTACAATAAAAAACTGAAATACAGAAACTTCCAGCCAAGACTGAGGCATAGGTAGACACACTGCGCCTCTGTGCACAATCAAAAGAAGGACAACAACAAATTTAAAAACAAAAAACAACCAGAACTGACAGAAAATCGAGCTGTATGGAAATCTGACAACCAAGGAGTTAAAGAAGAAACATTTGTTCAGGCTGGTAGAGGGGCGGAGAGGACTCACAGCAAGGCAGCAATTGGCAGACCCAGCGAGGCGGTGGCTTGTGGACTGGGCAATCCCACATTCACGTGCAGATACACCAGGAGGAACAACTGGGGAGCCAGACAGATCGCACAACCTAGGGTTCCAGCGCAGGAAAATAAAGCCTGAAAGCCTCTGATTGAAAACTCCTGTGGGGGTTGAGGCAGCAGTGGGAGAAACTCCCAGCCTCACAGGTGAGTTTGTTGGAGAGACCCACAGGGTCCTAGGACATACACAAGCCCACCCGCCCGGGAATCAGCACCAGAAGGGCCCAATTTGATTGTGGGTAGCTGAGAAAGCAACTGAAAACCAGCAGAGAGCAGAGCAAGCGCCATTGTTCCCTCTCTGACCCCACGCCCACATAAAGTGTCACAACAAAGCGCCGTGGGTTACCCTGCCCAAGTGACACCTAAGACTCCGCCCCTTATACGTAACAGGTGTGCCAGGACAAAAAAAAAAAAGGCCCAAATGAAAGATCAGATCAAAGCTCCAGAAAAAATACAACTAAGCGACAAAGAGACAGCTAACCTATCAGATGCACACAGTTCAAAACACCGGTAATCAGGATGCTCACACAATTGGTTGAATATGGTTGTTAATTAGATGAAAAAATGAAGGCTATGCTATGTGAAATGAAGGAAAATGTACAGGGAACCAACAGTGATGGGAAGGAAACTGGACTCAAATCAACGGTGTGGACCAGAAGGAAGAAATAAGCATTCAACCAGAACAGAATGAAGAAATAAGAATTCATAAAAATGAAGAGAGGCTTAGGAACCTCCAGGACAACTTTAAATGTTCCAGCATCTGAATCTACCAGAAGAAGAGGAAGAGCAAGAAATTGAAAACTTATTTGAACAAATAATGAAGGAAAACTTCCCCAATCTGGCAAAGGAAATAGACTTCCAGGAAGTCCAGCAAGCTCAGAGAATCCCAAAGAAGTTGGACCCAAGGAGGAACACACTAAAGCACATCATAATTACACTAGCCAAGATGAAAGATAAGAAGAGAATCTTAAAAGCAGCAAGAGAAAAGCAGACAGTTACCTACAAAGGAGTGCCCATCAGACTGTCAGCTGATTTCACAAAAGAAACCTTGCAGACAAGAAGGGACTGGAAAGAAGTATTTGAAATCATGAAAGGCAAGGACCTACATCCAAGATTGCTCTATCCAGCAAAGCTATCATTTAGAATGGAAGGGCAGATAAAGTGCTTCCCAGATAAGGTCAAGCTAAAGGAGTTCATCATCAACAAGCCCTTATTATATGAAATGTTAAAGGGACTTATCCAAGAAAAAGATAAAAAATATGTATAGTAAAATGACAACAAACTCAGTTATTAACAACCATACCTAAAACAAAATTAAAAACAAAAACAAATTAAGGAAACAACTAGAACAGGAACAGAATCACAGAAATAGAGATCACATGGAGGGTTATCAGCAGGGGAGTAGGTGGGGTGAGAGGGGGAAAAGGTGCAGAGAATAAGTAGCCTAAATGGAAGGTAGAAGACAGACAGGAGGAGGTTAAGAATAGTATGGGAAATGTAGAAGCCCACGAATTTATACATATGACCCATGGACATGAACTAAAGGGGGGAAAATGGGACTACTATAATAGCATAAACAATGAAATAATTTTAAATACATAAATAAATAAATGCTAAAAAAAAGAACTGAAATACAAAAATGCAGAAAGCTGAAAAAAGTACATTCAGATGTTTGGAAGGGTGTATCTAAAGCCTTTCCCAGAGGAAGTCTAGAACTCATAGTTTATGGATGGGAAGGATGTTGGCTTCTGTGCATATTCCAAACCTTAAAGGCTTTAAAATAAATGCGGTTTTATTTCTCATGATTCTGTGGGTGGTTCTTTGCTTCATGGTGTTGGCTAGCATAAAGATAGCCAGAAGATCCAAAATGTCTTCATTCATCGGGGGGAGTTGGGCCTGACCATTGACTGGTAACCTCCCTCTCTGAGACTCCATATGGCTGTTGGAGGGCCCTCACATAGCATAGTGGCTGGGTTCCAAGAGGATGCATTCCAAGTTCAAAGGTGGAAGCTGCTGATCTTATACGGCAGAGCCCTAGAAGCTACAGAGGCACATTCAACACATTCTGTTGGTCATAGGAGTTACATGGCCAGCCCAGATTTGAGGGGAGAGGAAGCAAACACGACCTTTCAGTGGGAGGAGTGTCAAGGAATTGCAGCCAGGTTTAATCCACCACCGTCTATTCTCTGCCCACAGATTCCCATTCCCATCCATACAAAGCATACTCACCCTCTCCCAAGTCCCCGACCCCATCCCAGCGAAGTCTTATCCCACTATGGCATAAAGTACAGTCTTGAAGTCCAGGATCTTGTCACCTAAATCAGGTCCAGGATGCTATGAGACAATACCATTAAGATTATTCCTACAGCCTTTCTGTCTAGCTGAGATCTAAAAGGCTCTGCCTTAAATCTCTTGAAATCTTAATACAAGGTCTTAGAACTGTGCCCTGGTTTTTATTTTTACCTGGAAACCAAGTTTTACTGGCAGTAGTGCTCTGGATCTGATCTTTTGACCTGAGGCCATTTCTCAGAGTATTTGCTGGGTAGGGAAGCTGGTCATGAGGAACAATTTTATTGTGACTCTACAAAGAAAATACTTCCTTAAAGTCTACTTAAACTCTGAACAGTCTCTTCTTTAATTCATCTCTGCAATACTTTGATTATAGGTGGTTAAAAAAAGAAGTTAATTGGCACTTCCAATATTCTGCTGGGAAAATCTCCTACGCTAGATCCACAAATTCATTAGGTTCATTTCCTATCTTCCAAGTCACTGTAGGGGACAGTCTTGCTGATTTTTCTGTCACCATGAAAAAGCAAGGGTACCATATTATATTCTCCAGCAGTAGTTTCCTCACTGTTTTCCCAGCAAACATTTAATAGCCTTCTTACCGCCCTTCAGGTCTTCAGAGCCATCTGGTCTCAAAGCTGATGCCAGATGTTTTGTTATGGTAGCACCTCACATCTAGGTACCAGTTTTTGTTTTGGCTCTTTGTTGCTATGTAACAAACCATCACAAAACTTTGCAGCCAAAATAATCATTTATCCTTTCTCATGATTCTATGGGATGATGAAGCAGTTCTGTTTCACATGGTGTTGGCTTCCATGCTGCATGGCTGGAAGATCCCCAGTCAATCCCAGAGCTGGCCCTTGGAAGCAGTGGTTGCTGGCCTGGAGCTCAGCTTGGGCTGATGACTGGAGCCCAGCTGCTCCTCCACATGGCTGTGCAGGCTTCCTCACGGCAAGGCAGCTCAGCTCTAGGAAGGAACCTTTCAAGCACACGAAAGCAGAAGCTAAAGATGTCTTTAAGGCCAGACTTAGAAATTACTCCACATTATTTCTGCCACATTGGACTGGTTAAAAAAAACAGGGCCAGACAAGCTACACAGGGAGGGGAAAATTCTGTGTCCTGTGGGGAAGAATCACAAAGTATTTGCAGCCATCTTCAATCCCCCAGAGGAAGTCATGAGTATTTAAGCAGTAAACAGTGCCATAGAAAGGAATTAATTCTTTGAGAGAATGAATTTAGTGAATGAATAACAGAACTCTTCACCTCTAGATAATATATTAAATGAAGAAGGACTATCAGACACAGAATAAAGGGGGATAGTGAAGCAGGGTCAGTGAAATAAAGGAGAAACATAGTATTTCTGGAGCACCAAAGTCAAAGAGTTTCAAGGAAGGAATCTGACACCACAGTCCAATAGCACAGAGGAACCAAAGGAGAATGGAGATGTGTGGTGACCATTCTGCCGCCTCTTACACAAAGCAGTAGAGTGGTAATGGGTCTACGAAATGACCATAAATAATATTCTCAGTTTTAGGAAAATAACCTAATCATTTAAAGCTCAAGAAGAAAGTCACCGAGTATGACAACACTATGGGAACAACCCTAGTGTTGTTGATATTCTAATAAAGGCTGAGTTGTTGTGGATTTTAAGGAACATTGCTTTACTTTTTCTTGTTTCTGATAATCATGGAATATATCATACATTTAATTTAGATGGTAATTCTCTTTTAAGGAAAAGACCTCTCAGTTCTTGGATGCTTTTAGTGAACTACCAAATTAATCCAGAACACATTTAAAATGAAAGTTGAAGCCACATTATTATAATGTTAGTCTCTGAGCATAAGCCACCAGTGACTGCCTAATTCTTAGAGAGAATGTGTAACCTCATACCCTTCTCCACCACATTGTTTATAAAAATGTTTCCCCGACCCCTACCTCCAGCCCACCATAGGCAAGCCATAAAACAGAACCAAACTCATTGCCTATGCAGTCTCTCAAGAATCACACACGCTCTCCTTTCAAATGACTGGTTGAAAGCAGAGAACATCATTCCGTTTGCTTCTCCTAATTCTTCCATAGGTGACCTGCCTTTCACAAGAGCAGAATCAAATGGACTATTTACTCTAGGGAGAAACCACAGAGATCAGAGTACAACTCTTTATAAATAAGGAAACTAAAAGTCAGAGGTGCTCAAGTGACTTCTCTAGGGTCGTAGGGTAGAACATGGGCTTATGCCCAAGTTTCCTAATTTGAAAAGAACTAGAAGGTTGGTAGCACTGATTCTGGCCATGTAGCCTGATTAATAATAGACCTTCCTAATAACAAAACAAAAACAAAAACAAAGCCCAACCCAGGATTTTGGAACATGAAGTTACAAATATATCCAGAGTGATTCTATGTTATAATTTTTCAACTATAATTCAAAATGAGATTTTTTAAGCTCTGAAGCAGACAAATCAGTATGCTCTTGAAATATTTAAAAATATGATTAAATAACTAGTCTTAACCCCTTATCTAAAGTAAAATTTATGTGTCCTCGATTATGGAGGCTAGAATTACAAAGGTATACTGCGGAGATATAAGGCCTTGTTTCTGCCTTCACAGGATTTATATTCCTATTGTAGAGAGAAAACATGCACTGAGCACACCCCATCTTATATGGTCACTTCAGTACCAAAATGAGATGAAGTCTAAATCTAAAAAGTACCACACAAGCAAAATAACCCAAGAAAATGAGGGAAACATTACTGAAAACAGCACCTGTCAGAGAGAGGTCAGAACTTTAATCTGTTCATGCAACAAATATTTAGAGTGCTTACTGTGTGCCAGGGTGAATTCTAAATGTTCGGGGAAGTACAGGTATGTAAGACAGACAAGACCCCTGCTCCCAGGGAGACAATAACCAAATATGCAGAGCACAATAAAATCAGAAGCACTATGCAGACTATAAAGCTACTTTAGGTCAGATGGCCAGGAAAGACCTCTTTAGGGGGACTGCCATTAAAACATAGATCCAAATGGAGTCAGACAGGCGATGATACTGTGGAAGATCATTCAGGGAGGAGGAACAAGAAGCTTAGGATGTGTGAGGATCAGAAATGAGGCCACTTGACTGGCATGTTAGCAGCTCTGGAAAGTAGGAGAGTGACAGAAGGCTTACAGCCAAGGTAAAGAGTTTGGATAATAAACAGTCCAAGAGTGATGGAAAAGCCACTGAGGAGTCATAAGTGGAGGAACAGCTGATGATATTAGCTCTTAAAAATTTATAGTCAAGTGAATGAATCAGCAGGTTAATGTGGATATACTCAGGAAGTCAAAGGATCTATAATAAGAAAAGTGTTCAGAATACAAGGGAACAGACCCATTGTCCTCACTGCAGCTTCACCTGGACTATATGTTCAGACCTGGGTGACGTACGTTTGAGACATATGTTGTATTTCAACACTAGAGGGCCATGCTATTTAATACAGTATAATAATTAACCATTCATTATGTCAAGTCAAAAGCTCTGCCACGGAGCTAATTTAAGATCAGTCTTCCACAGCTGTAAAAGAAGAAAGATATTTGCAGGAAGCAACAGAGCACAGGACTTGCTTGTTTCTGACTTACCTACTTTAGATGGCCTACTAGTTCCACACATTAGAAAATTCTACAAAAATACTACCTTAAACAAAAATCAGAAAAATACAGACATGAAGTCATGCAGTCTAAATCTCTCACAGACATTTATTATATTCTTTAGATCTTTAATGTTAAAAAATAACAAATATCAAACACAAACACACACACTTCACTATATACAAAACTGACAAAGCATAGTAGGGTGATATTTTACCAAAGTGTATACAGGATTTAATTTTCTGTTTGACTGGATTAAAAACATCAAAAGGACTTTACTCAAACCATCTACAAAAATAGTACTGTTTTTTTACATACTAAGTATCCAGCATTTGTTTGCCCCAGGCTACCAATATAACAGTAATTATCTTGACCAGATGTTCATTAACAATTCAGAATGTTAATCTTACCCTGTGAATGCTGGTCAACCGGAACCACTGCAATTAGTTTCTGTCTGAAATATTCCTAAAGAGAAATCATAAACATATTGTTATATTTTAAGCATCACAGTACTGTAACACAATTCATCAATTTATGTGGTTCTAAAATTTCCAATATCTACAACAACTTTATAAAACATACAAAAAGTGACCTCAAAAAAAAAAAGTGAGTTAAGAGTTCGGCCAAGATGGAGGCGTAGGTAGAAACCCTTTGCTTCCTTGAACAACAAAAAGGAGGATAACAACCAATCTAAAATCAATAAACAACCAGAAGTGCCAGAAAATCAAACTGCATGGAACTCTGACAACCAAGGAATTAAAGAAACAATCAAACAGAACAACCAGACCAGTAAGAACCCGCAGTGAGGCCATGTGGGCAGGCCGGATGAGAAAAAAATGAGGGTGGGGGGAGATGGCAGACCAGGGGGTGGGGCTGGCTGCAGCAAGGTGGGGGACTATGGGGTGGGCGGTGGGGCTGGCTGAGGGCAAAATACACTCAGAGCTGGCTGTGGACTACAGTGGCTGCTGTGGTGGGAGAAACTCCCAATCTCACAAGAGTTCGTTGGAAAGTGAGCTAGAGACGAGCAGGCGAGCTGCCTTGTTCCCTCCCCTGCCCCTTCCCCACAGGCAGAGCCGCAGGAGGGTAAGGAGGGTTTCCCTGCCTAGGTGAATACCTAAGGCCCTGTCCCCCTTCAACTTATCAGTGTGCTAAACAAAGAAATAGGGCCCAAATGAAAGAACAGAGCAAAACTTCAGACAGAGAACTAAATGCTGAGGAGATAGCCAACCTCTGTGATGGAGAATTTAAAGCCCGGTAGAACTTTGATTAAAATTCTATAATCAAAATGCTCACAGAACAGATTGAGCTTGGTAGAAAAATGAAAAAAAAAAAAAAAAAAACAATGAAAGACACACAAAATGAAATAAAGCAAAATATTCAGGGAGCCAACAGTGACAGGAAGGAAACCAGGACTCCAAGCAACAATTTGGAACAAAAGGAAGAAATAAACATCCAACTGGAACAGGATGAAGAAACAAATTCAAAAAAGTGAAGAGAGACTTACAAACCTCTGGGACAACCTGAAATGTTCCAATATCCAAATTATAGGGGTGCCAGAAGAAGAGGAAGACCAAGAAATTGAAAACTTATTTGAACAAATGTTGAAGGAAAACTTCCCCAATCTAGTGAAGGAAATAGACTTCCAGGAAGTCCAGGAAGCCCAGAGTCCCAAAGAAGTTGGACCCAAGAAGGAAGACACCAAGGCACATCATCATTAAGTTACCCAAGATTAAAGATCAGGAGAGAATCTTAAAAGCAGCAAGAGAAAAGCAGACAGTTACCTAACAAAAAAGTGCCCATAAGACTATGAGCTGATTTCTCAAAAACTTGCAGGCAAGAAGGGGCTGGAAAGAAGTATTTCAAGTCATTAAAGGCAAGGACCTACATCCAAGATTACTCTATCGGCAAAGCTATCATTTAGAATGGAAGGGCAGATAAAGTGCTTCCCAGATAAGGCCAAGTTAAAGGAGTTCATCACCAAGCCATCATTATATGAAATGGTAAAGAGACTTACCTAAGAAAAAGATAAAAAATATGAACAATAAAATGACAACAAACTCACAACGATCAACAAATGAACCTAAAAGAAAAGAAAAACAATGAAAACAAAAACTAAGCAAACAACTACACAGGGACAGAATCAGAGAAATGGATATCAATCACATGGAGAGAGTTCAGTGGGGAGGAGGAAGGGAGGAATAGGGGGAAAAGGCTCAGGGAAGAAGAAGCATAATTAGTAGGCATAAAATAGATGGGGAGAGATGAAAATGGTAAAGGAAACAGAGGACTCAAAGAACTTACATGTAAAACCCATGGACATGAACTAAGGCAGGGGGAATGCTGGAAGGTTGGGGGGTCAGGGCAAAGGGAGGATAAAGGGGGAAAATTGGGAAAACTGTAATAGCATAATCAATAAAAAATACTTTAAAAAAAGTGAGTTGAAGAGATCACCTTCAGACCTCTCATAAAAGGTGTTGACTAATACCCAGGGAAATAAACAATTACTGTCACATTACAGATTTAATCTCAGTACCACATAATTTATAAAGCATAAAATATGAACATTAGTCCTGGCTGGTGTAGCTCAGTGGATTGAGTGCCTGCCTGCAAACCAAAGGGTCACTGGTTCAGATTCTCGGTCTAGGGCTCATGCCTGGGTTGTGGGCCAGGTCCCCAGTGTGGGGCATGTGAGAGACAACTACACATTGATGTTTCTCTTCCTCTCTCTTGCCCTTCCCCTCTCTAAAATTAAATAAGATCTTAAAAAATAAACATATGAACATTAAATTTGTAGTGAAAAATGAGATAAGCATTGTGTCTGAGGCACCACTCATTTCGTAAGTAAAAGAAAACCCCACTGAAAATATATAGCTTCTTACAGAAAATAGGGAAACATGCGGCAGGGGAAAGGTTTAACATTTGAGATTACTTTCTCCCAGGTTTTTCTGTTTTGTTTTGGCTTTTGCTTGGACTGCCACTTTCACACAATTGTGCCACTGTAAAGTACAACAGCACAGGATTGAGACCCCCTTCACCTCATCATTTATCATAGGCTTCCTCAATGTTGTTAGTTTCTCTAAACACGGTTCATACATGGCTGTCATAGTTCACAAAACCACTTTGCTACAGAATGTTAGATTTTTCTTTTTATTACTAATAATGCTGTAAATACCTCTGTATTCTGTTCATATGATTTCCTTTGCACTGACTTCCAAAATTGAGAGTAATGGGTCAAAGAGCATTAACATTGTAAGGCTTTGATATGTAATATCAAATTATTTCCCCAGAAGGTTATACTAATTTTCTTTCCAATATATGAGTAGAACCCTCAGTAGATATAGGAATCATCATTAAAAAAAAACTTCACTAATTCTGTGTGAAAAATGATCTTACTATTGCTTTATTTTTCATTTCCTTGATTAATTGGGTTGCATGCTTTCCAATATGTTTAATTAATAACAAGTTTCATTCCTTTTTTCTGCTTAACATTTACCTAAACCAAAGGAATATTTTGCTAAGATATACAAGGAGGGACCCCCCCAAAACTGGGATTATCTTCTGGAGGGCGGGCCCCTTGTAGTACAGGCTTCCCCTACTAGGTGACTGTTCCAGGGACTCACTGTAGTAGCATACCAGCTGGTGTTGTTGTGAGAGGCTGCATTTGGCTTCAGTGAATTGTTTTTGAATACTTACAATGTGTTTGCCCATTTCATGATGGGTGATTTACAAGTGCACCTGCCTACATCGTGCTGAGTGTTCAGCTGCTTTTGACCAAAAACAACATGACCCCTATGCCCCACCCTCCCTATTCACCTGATCTCAGCCTGAGTGACTTTTTCTGTTTCTTTGAATGAAAAAAGTCCTCAAAAGGAAAGGTTTTGCGATGTGGAAGAGGTGAAACAAAAAACAGCAGAAACATTAAAAGGCATCAAAATCAATGAGTTCACAAAGTGTTTTGAGCAGTGGAAAAAACGTCTCAGTAGGTGTACTGCACGAAATGGAGAGTACTTTGAAGGTGACTGAAGTTTAAATATGTAAGAATACACAATTTTTTATAAATAAATTCCAGGTTTTTTGGGGTCCCCCTTCGTAAATGTAGAACTTAATGAAAGCCCTCTCATAATGATAACTTGTCAGCTCAGAATGTGGCCATTGCTGTCAAGTTAAAACACACACACACACACACACACACACACACACACACACACACACACACAAATGTAGTCCAGTTTCTTCACCAAGGTTAAAAAGCCAAATCACTCTAATTTTAGAAATTAAAGCAAAAGTTACTGCCTTTCTTTCTGCCTAGCAGCAAACAAAAGTACAAGTTGGAAGGATGAGAATGTGAAAATACTAAATGGCAAAGCCTCTTAGAACAGAATAACTAGTCCATGTCAGGCAGGATAAAAATAGGACTGGGACGCACAGTAGTTCTGACAGCCCCAGCTGCCCAGCCAGCCAGCAGCAGCGGCTTCTCCAGTTTGCAAGGATAATGAGTGTTAGAAAGCTGGCATCACCCACTCCCTCAGAAACATTTTCTTTCCCCATAGGCAGGAAACAAGGCATGTATTTTCACTTAAAAAGTCAATTCCAGAAAGTCACCTCCAAATCTGGAAGCCAAGCAAAACACGGAGAATTCCCTTTCTCAAACGAGAGCTCCTTTCTGAAGGTTCCCCTGAACGAGATTAAGGAGGAGTAGGGGCAGTCAGCCTTCTGAGAGAAAAACGAAGGCCCAGGCTCTCACTGTGGAAACGGAGAAGTCGGAATGCTTTTATTCCTTGCTTGTCAGTAGAAATAATGGAGACTGACAAAACAACTCTTTTGTAGTAAAGCAAAGAACTACTGTAAACTTTTGGAATTCGAGAATTACTTTCCATTTGGGTGATAAATACAAGTTTAAAAGTTAAAATTCAGCAAGAAGTTCAGAGTCTCCTCGTAGTCACTGGATGTCATGTTGCAGGTCATCAGATGCGGCCGGAATCACGGCAGTGTCACAGTTATTCACCGCACTTTGTGCAATTCTGTAAGTTTAAGGCTTTAGGTGATGTGAAATTAGAGTATCCTATTTCACCAATCTGAAAGGAACATTTCATTTTACCATCTGCCCCACCTGGGATCACCTCCAAGAATCGCCTCCCTGAGCCACCATGGCCTCTGCAGGCTGAATCCACTGTTCTTCCATCACTGCTCCTAGGACATTTGACTAATAGTTCTCTCACACTGTTTTGTAGAATATCACAGCTATTGCCTCGAGTTCCTTGAGGACTGGGACATTATCCCTGCACCCACCCCAATGTTTCTTCCCAGTGCTACACTGAGAGGCCTGGATATTACAGTGGCTCCCAGACAGCGATTCATCAACAGGATGTTGAAAACATCTCTGGAAACTTAACTAGATTAAACAAAAATAGTATCTGCCAGAACTTTTCTCAGGGACAGTCCAGAATGTGGTTGGAAGGAAAGAT